TTGGTTTCCTAGTGGTGGACATTACGCAGATAGCCTATTGTGTAGTTTTGCCCTCAAACAAACAGACTTACCTTTTATTTCCAACATATTTATTTGTTTCAAATCTGGGTTTATTTTCATTGCAACACGTACAGTATAGCAGAAATTAGAATTCGTGAGGTAATGTCTTATTACTTATGTCTGCGGACTTACAACGCTAGAAACCGGGTTTCAATACCCGTGGTGGCCAAAGCACAGATACCTCATTGTGTAGCTTTGTGCTTAATTCCAAACAAACAAAATATACTTATAAAATTCTATTAATCATTATTTATATATTAAATCGGATAAAATAAGAACATTATTGATATGCCGAATTATTCTATTTTGCAGGCTAATCAACGCCCTTCAGCCCGAAACGATTCCAGAGAAGAAGATCAACACTAATAAAATGGCCTTTAAGCAAATGGAAAACATTAATCATTTCTTAGCTGGGGCGCAGAAACTGGGTGTTCCATCTGAGGAAATCTTCCAAACCGTTGACTTGTGGGAGAAACAGAATCTCGCTGCTGTTGTCACGTGTCTAGAATCCCTTGCAAGAAAAGTAGGTTAACATTAATTACGTAAACATATTCATACTTAACTCATATTAGACCATTTTGCAAACTGGATTCTGCCAATAAGGCACAGATGTATATAGGTATATGACCACACAATAAATTCGGAAATTAAAAGACATCGTAGCCTAATATCTGTTTATTTATTTATCTACTTGCCCCCCCCCCAGTGGCACAGTTGTATGTCTGTGGACTTACAACGCCAGAAACCGGGTTTCGATCCCCGTGGTGGGCAGAGCATAGATAGCCAATTGCGTAGTTTTGTGCTTGACTTCAAACAAACAAACAAATCTGTGTCTACTGTCCCCCCCGTGGGACAGAGGTAAGTCTATGGATTTACAACGCTAAAATCAGGGGCTGAATTCCCCGTAGTGGACGCACACACACATATTCCGTGTATACTACAGCACTAATATAAAAAAATTGATACATTATACTTATTACAGCTTTTCACATGCCATCTGATTTATACAAGCGCTTTTTTCATGATATTTTGGCCTGTATGCTTTAAATTTTGCTTTTAAATGTTTCAAATGTTGTGTATAACTCATTTGATATAAATAATTGAAAAATAGTTTACCTTCATAATCGAAAAGTG